TGTGGACGACTGCCTGGAAAACTGTACCGTTGTATGCACTCGTTTTTTGAAAGCCTAGAACACATAAAGTCTTTTGCAAATCTACTTTTGGTCACAATCGCCATCACCTCGACCACGTGTTGGCTAGAGCAAGTTGAGTCAGCTCACTGCTACACTTCTGCAGGATGCTTGTTACCAACACCAACATAGATAAGGGTTCTGACGTGGTTCCTATGAGGGTCTGTCGACGGCTCGGGCATGATCTGCAAGCGAACACGACGAGGCTTTCTTCAGGGATCTCGCTACTGTCACTGAAATTCATCGGGCTCTCACCAATTAAGCCCTCACGCCGACACAGACAAATTGTGAGGTTCCTTCGACAGGCAGGCAATAAGTTTAAACAGAAGCACGCTCAAGAGTACCTCGCAGCAGGCGCATCTGACGGGCATAGCTGACCCTGGAGTCGGCGTGAGATCTGTCCGAAAATCGAACTGTGAGTGTACAAAACCTGTGCCAGAACAGTCCTTAAGTGCGGATACTGAAAATAGCTCGAGCGCTCAGAAGACATCACCCACTCGGATGGGTTCGATCGAACTCATTTCTAACGAAAGAATGCACAACCACTTAAGAATAGAATCGGTTAACTGGAACTCCACCTCATATACTGATTGAAATGGTTCCGCTAGGGACTTCTCTGACCTGATGATACATCGTCCAAGACGTAATTTTCCCCCAGGAAACCAGCCCCGGTTGCTGATGGCGTTGAGTTAATCAACTGAAAACGTGGGTAGACATAGTGAGAGCACACCTGAGTGCCATCTTTGTCCTTGTGGTTTTCTGGTTTCCGTGACTGACATGCCAACAGAGTTAAGTTCGTTTGAGAAACTGTCGTCTACTGAATTTTTTCCCGAAGTTCCAGCATAGAGCCATAATCAACACCTTGACACGGACAAAAGTGTACTCACCCTGTTTCTTCGAAGACTTTGTCCGCTGACCTCGGTGCAGACAAAGAAGGGCGAAGGCCGCTTGGGCGTAGGAAATAAATGCCTACATCGTGCGAACAGGAAAAAAGAAAGTGAGGAAGGGCGCTTCGGTTGAGAGTTGACGGATAAAAAGAAATGAAAGTATGGCCCACCTGAAGAGCAATAAAAGGCAAGTTGACGAAACGGCGAGAAGTGGCAGCCTCTCCGCACCAACAAGCCACTGAAAGGAATCCGATGGCCATCAATGCGAGCATGAGCGATACCCGGCGGGGTAGACCTCGCCTAGATCCCAAAAAAACACTTCATAATAACCCACTTTGAATGCACGCTCGAGACAAAAGGGAGCAGCGGTTTCGCCCTTAGAGATTTACGGGTAATGGTACTTTATTTTGGGACAAGCTTACAGTTCGTTGAAAGTGCCTGACAGACGTAAGAGCGAGCAGCAGTGAACAGGCAGTCCATTTTGATCGAAGCCAAATGCAACTACCTTTTATATACCCGCCAAATCTACTACTTCTTTTCCGTTGGACGAATTTAAACATTTCCAGACAAGTATGTGCTTTAAAAACGCAGTTTCTGTTCAATAACGGGGATAATCAGTATTTTAAATGCAACCAGAAAGGGGTTGAAAACAGATAATTCAAATATATAAGGTCCTGTGCGTATGTTTGGGGTTACTCGTTATGAAATAGAAGGTGAAATAACGGTTAAACAGCTAAAAGCTCAATTTTAAACAACACAAGTTAACCTAACTGAAAGAAAGCTGGCAATGCAACAGTGTATACCGTATGGCTTTGGAAACGCTATTCACTACGGCAGTCTAAGGTAACATTAACAAAGGATGTTCTAATTACAAGCACATCAGATGGAAGCGTATTAGGCTAGCATTCTGAGATCATGGCTATCGCGTATAAAGCCATTAATTCTTCAAGAGCACAGACCAAAGAAGAAAATGATCGGCAAACTTGTCTTAAGATGCATGAGATGATCGGATCTGAGCAGACAAAAAAGATAGGAGAATTCAAGCTCGACACCAAATAGAATGGAATGTAAATAACGCAGGTCCTAATGGTCGGCTTAACTGAATCGTATCAATGATAGCAATTTTTTTCAAAATGTAAAGTAGCTGGATGTTGAGAGGCATAAACTAACCATGATTCTTCCTCCTGCACAGCCAAAAACTTGTATTTGACAGAGCTGACACCTTCCGCCAAATGAACATCAACCAAGAAGCCTAACAGCATGCCCCAGAGGTAGAGGGCAAAGTAGCCCGGCAAGGAGACAAGACCCTCGGCGTTCGCAAGCAGCAGAGAAGTCCGACGTGATTCTTCGCTGAGCAGGCTGCTGCCTGGAGCCAGAA